TTTGAAGCAGGGTCTCCCTGTAGCCCCAGCTGTCCTGGAACTCACTATGTAGACCAGGCTGGCCTTGAACTCACAGAGATCCCCCTGCCTCTGCCTCCCAAGTGTTTGACTACAGGCTTGCACCACCAGGCCCGGCTTTTTTTCAGATTTCAAAAGTAATTATTGTAGCTTCTAGAACATGTCCTTTAACACAGCTTGGGCCACACACACTTAACAACACAGGAACTATCCAGTGGTATATGTATACAAATACATTTCCAAAGCTCCAGCTATTACCTCACCCTAAAATGTTTATTTTAAAACCAAAACTAACAGCAACAAACATAATAGTTTTTAAAAAGAGGTATTCTTGCCCTTCTCTCCTCTTGTACCTGAAACATACTTGACTAAACAGAATGTAGGCAATTATTTTCTTGTCCTTTGTTTCATTTTTTTAAGCTTCTAGTGAGGCACTTTGCATTTTACAACTAAGTCTAGTCCTATTTATAACACTTCTATTATAGTAATATCCAAACTGCCAAACAGCTGATATAAAATTAAACCTTTAGAAGACTATATAAATTAAAGAATGTCTGTGGACTTAACATTTCTTCTGTAATTATAGTAAAACGTGGCTGATCCAAACTGATTTGGCAGAGCAATTTGACACATGTGGTACTTTTAAATAAGGCTTGTTATATGTGGTATTCCTAGACCTAAAGTAATCTAACAAAATGTTGGTCTAGAGGCTTTTGAGAGTCCTTCTCAATAAACATTTTGCTGACAATCTTTACTATTTTTTTTTTAATGGGGCCTGAGGGGTTGGAGAGATGGCTCAGTGGTTAAGAACACTTGCTATTCTTGCAGAGGATCCAAATTCAGTTTCCAGCATCCACATTGGGCAACTCACAACTGACTGTAACTCCAGTTCCAGGGAAGCTGACACTATTATGGCCTCTGCAGGCACCTACATATGCATGATGCAACATGCATACACTCAGGCACACAAGTACACACATAAAATAAAAATGAATCTCTTAAAAATAACTTTTTTTTTCATCTGGGTTTTTTTTTGGGGGGGGATTGGTTGATATTTTTTGAGACAGGGTTTCATGTAACCCAGGCTGACCTCAAAGTATGACCTTGAACTCCTGATTCTGTTGCCCTCGCATGCATCACAAGTGCTAGGATTATAGGCCAGCTCATGATCCCCAGCTTTTCTTTTTTTTTGCAGTTCTGGGGTTGAACCCAGGACTTTGCACATGCTAGGTAAATCTACTACTGAGCTACATTCTTAGCCCTTAAAGAAAGGGTTTCTAAACAAAAATAATTGTCAACATAGACTTGTAGAATTATTGAGAATTTGCTTAAATACTAACCATATTAAGGTGTGTGTGTGTGTGTGTGTGTGTGTGTGTGTGTGTGTGTACACATACATGTGCATTTCACACCACCAGTGAGGAAGATAGCTTGCAGGAGTTGATTAGTTGATTCTTTCCTTCCACCATGTATGTTCTGGGGATTGAACTCAAGTTACTAGACTTGACAGCAAGCTCCTTAGCTGTTGAGTTATTCTACCAGCCCTTGTTTGTTTTTGTTTTTTTGAGACAAGGTCTCCCTGTAGCCCCAGCTGGCCTGGAACTCATTATGTAGACCAGGCTAGCCTTGATCTCACAGAGATCCTCCTGCCTCTGCCTCCCAAGTATCAGGCTGGCTTCATACCCACAGCAATCCTGGCTTAGCAGCCCAAGTGAAGTTTAATTGTGTGTGTGTGTGTGTGTGTGTGTGTGTGTGTTGCCTGCATGTATGCAAGTGCACCCATGTGTACAATACCCATGAAGGCCAGAAGAAGGCGTCAGATTCCTTGGAACTGGAGTACAGACAGTTGTTAGCTGCAATGTGGATGCTGGGAACAGAACCCAAGTCCTCAAGAACTGTAGATAGTTTTATTACAATAATATCTGCAATTAAAACAGCTAATACATAGCAAACACTGAATGGAAATCTTTTATATGCAATATCTTACTTAATCTTTGCACAGAAGATACCTATTTTAGAGTTAAAGAACCTAGAAGCCAGGCCTCTGATCCCTACACTTAGGAGGCTGAGGCAGAAGGACTACCATGAGTCCAAGGCCAGCTTGAACTACATCACAAATTCAGGCCAGTGTGGGATACAGAGTGAGTTCCAGGCTAGTCTGGGATACATAGACCCAGTTTCAAAACAAACAAAAAGAAATTAAAGTGATAAGTAACCTATCTAGTAATTATCAGTAGTAAAATTTCTTCCCAGGTCCCGTCTCCTGCCTTGGTTAACTATAGCTAAAAATATTTTAAATAAATATCAAGGGACTGGCAAGATGGCTCAGCAGTTAAGAGCACTGGCTGCTCTTTGCAGAGACCGTGGTTCAATCCCCAGCACCCACATGATGGCTAACAACAGTCCCTATGGGCTAACTTCAGTTTCAGGGGATCTGGCACCCTCTTCTGGCCTCCTTGGGCACTGCAGGACATGGGTGCACTTACATACACCTGCAGACCTAACACTCATATATATAAAATAAAAATAAATAAAAATTTAAAATGAATATCAAAAATATAACAATAACCATAGTACACAAGTCTCAAAACTACTAGACTTGAATGAGGAAAAGAAAAGATATCTTAGATTCAGTAAAACATGATAGCAAGAGTTTCTCAGTCCAGATTTCTTTAGGGAAAGAAATTTCAATACTTCCACAATGTCCACATCTCTCTGTGACTGGTTTCTCAAATACTTCACTTGATTCCTTCCCTTTTGACAAACTATAATAGTTTCATACTTACCAACTGTCCCTATTCATAAGGCATGGTTGATTTAATAACTTTTTAGAAATGTAACTACTGCCTAGCGTGGTGGTGCACACCTTTAATCCCAGCACTCCCAAGGCAGAGGCAGGCAGATCTCTGTGAGCTCCAGGCCAACCTAGTCTACATGGTTCCAGGCCGGCTCAGCTACAAGGAGACCCTGTCTCAGAAAGACAAAAAAAAAAAAAAAAAAAAAATTTATGTGTAAATACTATACTAAAATTACTCAAAATTTTTCTTACTAACTGAAAACACAGCACATATTGATTCATTCAATTTTTTTCATTATTATAATCAAATTTTGAGTTTAAGCTTTCGTTTAAAGATTCAAGAATCCTCTGAACTGTGTTTGGCTCTCGCCAGTTATTTGTAGTATCCTGGTGACATACTATTCTTTATATAACCTGTGCTTGTGATTTGGGGTGTGTGTCGAGGGAGATATATATTGACATTTTAGAAGTTTTATATTTCAGAGACATAACTGACACATACCCAATTAGATTAAATAAAACTTTTTGAGCTGAGGTCTTGCTATACAGCCTTGAGTAGCCTCAGTATACTCCCTTTGTAGCCTAGATTGGCCTTGAACTTGTAGCAATCCTTTAACTTCTGAGTACTGGGATTTTAGGTATGTATCACCATGACAGTCTGGTAAGACTTTTTAAGATAAATTCAATGTCATTTGAAGTAAAATATGTTCCCTTGAAAGTTAAAGCCTTCAAATTCCAAAAAGCTATCATTTTCTGATAGAATCTGACACATTGACCTTTCTTTTAAAATTCAGGTATCTGTTTCAAGAAATGTGACTAAAAGTTCTCTGTAGAATAGTAGAACTGATCACAGCATCCTTGCTGTAAGAACTTTATGAGTTCTAGTTTTATTAAATATGAAACTATGGAAAGCATGTATTATAGAATCAAAGAAATATAGTATTAGATGTAAGTTTAATTTTTTGTGGGCAGAGCCTGGCTTGTTTTCCTCTTGAACTTTTCATATAGTATAAACTCTGTGTTATAGATTTTGTGCTGGTCTGTAACTTTAGAAATATTTAAACTGGCACCCTATGAAGAAGAGAAATAAACATCAGCTATTTTGGGAAAGTAGTAAATATCAAGATTTGAATTAAACCAAGTTTAAGAATTAAAATTTAAGCCAGGTGTGGTGGTGCACACCTTGAATCCCAGCACTCAGGAGGTAGAGGCAGGCAGGTCTCTGTGAGTTCAAGACCAGCCTGGTCTACATAGTGAGTTCCAGGGGCTACAGTGAGACCCTGTCTCAAAAAGACCAAAAAAAAAAAAAAATAGGATTAAAATTTAGGGTAAGCAGGATCGGCAGGTAAAGGCACTTCCACCAACCAAGCTGGACAATCTGAGTTTGATCCCCAGAATCCACATGGTAGAAAGAGAAAACCAACTCCCACAAGTTCTTCTCTAACTCCATGACATAAAAAATTTTAAGAATTAAACTTTAAGGCCAGACACATGCCTTTAATCTCAGCACTCTAGAAGTAGAGGGATCTCTTTGAGTTGGAGGCCAGCCTGGTCTAGATAACAAGTTCCAGGTCAGCCAGAGCTGCTTAGTGAGACCCTGTCTCCAAAAAAGGAGAATTTCATAGGTTTTTAGTTTGTCTTTTGGGGAATGGGAAAGTGTTTGTTTGGTTTTTGCAGAGCAAATCATTTAAAAAATTTTCATCAATCTTTAAATTCAAAGTAACGTTTCCTTATGGCATTTTCATACATTATTATATGAAAAAAATGTATGATTCTCCCCCTCTGTTCCCCCCTACACACACATATCCCTTCCCCCTGTCATTTTTTCATAAATTTTATTAATGTTATAAGAGATGTGGCCAAAGTCAGTCTGATACTCTAGAAAAAAATCTATCCTTTCTTGTGAAATTACGTAATAAAAGTGGTCTCACTTGGAATTAATAGCATTCATCCTGTGAGGAAGTTTTAGAATTCTTAGAAAAGGAGTTCTTTCTTTTGGTAATTTCAAGTTTTCTTACCTCTTACAGACTCTTTGGAGCAAGAAGAGAATGTCTAATATTGCCATCTCTCTCCATCCCTCTTTAGGTGTACCAACATTCGACCAGGAGAGACTGGAATGGATGTAACAAGCCGCTGCACCCTTGGAGACCCCAACAAACTTCCAGAAGGGGTTCCCCAACCTGCCCGAATGCCGTATATCTCAGATAAGCACCCTCGGCAAACCTTGGAAGTGATTAACCTTTTGAGAAAGCACCGGGAGCTATGTGATGTGGTGCTAGTTGTGGGTGCTAAGAAGATATATGCCCATCGAGTCATTTTGTCAGCCTGTAGTCCCTACTTCCGAGCAATGTTTACAGGAGAATTGGCAGAGAGCCGCCAGACAGAAGTAGTGATCCGAGACATAGATGAGAGGGCTATGGAACTACTGATTGACTTCGCATATACCTCCCAGATAACTGTGGAAGAAGGCAATGTTCAGACCCTTTTGCCAGCTGCTTGCCTCCTCCAGCTGGCAGAAATACAGGAAGCCTGCTGTGAATTCTTAAAAAGACAATTAGATCCTTCTAACTGTCTGGGCATTCGGGCTTTTGCTGACACACATTCTTGCCGTGAGTTGCTAAGGATAGCTGACAAGTTCACTCAGCATAACTTCCAAGAGGTGAGTTGTGGGCTAGGGAGACAGCTCACTGGGTAAATTGCTTGCACAGTTACCCAATGTGCAGTTACTTCGTGCAAGCACAAAGACCCAAGTTCACATCCCCACAACCCACATAAAAGCCTGGTATGGCGATGGCATATGTAACACGAGCATTGGGGGCTCAAAGACAGGAGGATCTCTGAGGCTTGTTGACCTGCCAGTTTACCATAAATAGTGAGAGACGGTCTCAAAAAAAGTAAGGTGAAGAATGATAGAGGAAGAGACATTCCTTTCTCCCCTCTACATATACATATGCATGGGCAAGTACACTCATACACATGTGCACACACGTACACACAAAGAGGTGAATTATACTAAGTGGTTTCAATATATACATAACGTATTTGTCAAAAGAGAAATCTGGAAGCAAATGAGATAGCTTAACAGGTAAACCTTAGTTTGATCTTCAGAACACATGGTGGAAGGAGAGAAACTAACTCCTGAAGGTTGTCCTCTGACCTCCATACACAACACACACACACACACACACACACACACACACACACACAATAATGATAAACCTTTTTAATTTAAAAAGAGTAAAAGAGTGACAAGGGTTTATGTTCTGCTAACACCTGGTATTCTGGTCTAACTCATAATTTCAAAGAAATAAGTTGCTATGACTTCTAGGCCCTTTTGTAATTTTTAAAGGCCCATTTTGTATTCTACTAACAAAAGTTTTTTCTCCCTAATCCTATCATGAAGGGCTAGTTTATAAGTCAATACAGCTTATGAATGTATGAGAGGATCTGTGCATCAGCAGAGTGACTTCAAAGGCATTCCCTCATGACTATATGGATTATTCAACAGAATAAATTATACACCAAGCTATTCAGTAAACTAATAGAAAAAAAATAAATTTAGATGGTACCAAAAGAATTTTCATTAAGCTCACTATTTTTCACTCATTTTATTTTAAAAAATATTTGTAAAGCTACTGTTTCATCCATTGTACTTGGGCACATTGCCTGTAGTAGGGAACAAGAAACCCAGAGCCTGTACTCATAGAGTTCATGACCTAGATAGCTATATCATAGTATATAATTACACAGATAATTAATTATAACTAATAAGTGCTACAGAAAAGCACCTTAGGTGATTTTAGAGTATGCAGAAATATTTGACTTTGGCTCTGAAACAGACAAAAAAAATCCTGAGACAGTAGTAGACATAACTGAAGAACAAAAACTCAAGTGAGATGCAGAGAGCTAGAGGGAAGATACTATATAATGATTTCATGGAAAGAAAAGGACCAGCTCATACTGGAGTTGATAGATCATGTGAAAATTTTGAGCTACAAGCCAGATATGGTAGCCCATACCTGTAATCCCAGCATTTGGGAAGTGGAGACAGTAGGATGAGTTTAAGATCATCTTTAGCTACATAAGGACTTTGAGACCAGCTTAGAAGATCTCAAAAGACTAAAACCCACTATTGCACCAGTGGGCATATCTTGCAAGGCTGGTTGTTATTGTAATTTGCAGGATTCACAGCTGGGTAAAGTTGATGATTATGTGTTCTTTCTGGTAGCATGCATAGCATCTTCCAGCTAGCTAGTGGAGTTGAGGCTCTGAAGTCAGCACTAGCTTGATTTCTCTTTGTTTGTTCTATAACTCATGTATGTAGTGTCTTCAGCAATAGGCTTTTACCGTCCAGTTCTGGTGGATAACCAAGAGCAGGGGCAATTGTCAATATTGAGAGTCCTGGTCAACATCTTCTAGTGAGGGAGTGCATTCCTGGCATTGCCAATGTGCAGAGAAGCAGAGTGCTTATCCCTGAAGAGGACACCTGTGTCAAATTTCTACCCCCTAAGGCTCAGGGATCATTGTGGAAGAAGGGGTGGAAAGATTGTAAGAGCCAGAGGTTGGTAGATGACCACAAGGAAACAGAGTTTTCCCAGATAGCTGATCAGCTACCTATATAAATTCATAGCAATGGTAACAGCATGCACAAGTCCCATACAAGTTCAAACCAGAAAAAAAAATCCCAGCATAAACATGAGGAAGTAGGTTAGAATCTCCAACCCTACCTAAGGAAGTTGTGGCAACAGATAGATGCTGGGAGGGGCAGAGACAGCCTCTTTCAAGGATAGGACTATTGGTAGGTTAACCAGGCTCCAGTGGATAGACCCACACTGAAGAACATTTGGAGGCATAAAGTAGACTGTATAGATTTTATCATATATATATGTATATGTATGTATATGTATATAAAATAGAGTGCATAGCCAGGTGTGGTGGCGCACACCTTTAGTCCCAGCACTCAGGAGGCAGAGGCAGGTGGATCTCTGTGAGTTCAAGGCCAGCCTGGTCTACATAGTGCGTTCCAAGCCAGCTGGGGCTATACTGAGACCCTGTCTCCAATAGACCAAAAACAATAAATAAAAGAGTGCATTAAATTGGGTGAGGGGCAATAAGGGAGGTATAGAAAAATAGAGGAGGAGATCTAAATACCATCAAGTTACATTGTTGAAAATCGCATAAATTCAATAAAATAAATAAATTTTCTTATAAAAACCAAACCGCCAAAGTTTGATATACAAAACTAAGAACAATAGAAACCACAAAAAGTTCTAAGCAAAGCAAAGATATAGTCTGCTTTATACTTTATATCACCCCTCTCTCCTCTAGTATAACCTCAAATGAATCAAAGAATTAAGCATACAAATGAAACTATGGCAACATTAGAAAATAACGTAGAGCAATTCCTTTATGACCTTGAAGTGAAAAAGCATTTCTTAGTGACTAATATAGAAAGACTAGAAGATAAAGTAAATAGATTTCACGACATAAATTTTTTTCCTGCAATACTAAGACAAAAGTCAAAGACAGACTAAGGGAAAATATTTGCAGTTCACATCACAGACAACCGATCACTATGCTTAATGCATCATGAGCGCCAATGACCCATACCAGAGAACTAATGGAAAAAAATAGGCAGTACACAAAAAATAAATTCAAATTGCCCTTAAATATCTGGTCTATTCAAGTTTGTTCACAATAACTGAAACACAAAACTATACCGAAGTACTTTTTTTCTGCTTTGCAAATACTATGATTATAGGCATGTACTACCATGTCTGGCCAAAGTACCATTTTTCATTTATCAAATAACCATCCTTAAATGTAATTGTATATCCTTTTGGCAGGACTCTGGGGAAAGAGGTACATTGCTAGTATGACTAAATCAGTGCAACCTTTTTGAAAGGAAATTTGGCAATATCTGTCAGTTACAGTTTGCACACACTTTTAACTCAGTATTCTCATTCCAAGGGATTTGTACTACAGATACTAGAGAGAAGAGTTTAAGGAGATAAATCGGGGTTCTGTATTAGATACCTAAGTAGGTATCTAAGTAGAGCTATTGAACAGATGACTTTTTATGGATCTATTCCTTGAGAGGTTAGGCTGAGATTAAAATTTAATTCAACACTGTAATTAAGCCGTGGCCTAATCCTTTTTAAGTGTGATATAATCTAGATACCATAAGTGAAGAAATTGATAGACTTGATTACCTAAATATGGGGCTAGAGAGATGACTCAGTGGTTAAAAGTGCACACTGCTCTTCCAGAGGACCTCTCGGTTCCCAGCACCCATATTGGGCAGATCACAACCACTTGTAACTCTAGCTCTAGAGGACCCCACACCTGGCATGCACATACAGATACATGTAAAAGTAAATCTTTAAAGTATATGATTGCCTAAATATGTAAAACTTTTTTTAGACTTAAAAAGGCTCTATAAACATAGTCAAAAAATCATTGCCAGTAAGAATACCTGAGGAGAAAAATGGAGAGCCTTTCAGTTTTTGCAGTATTGAAGGATGGCTCGCAAAGGGACAACTGGGAAAGGAAACTGAATAACTAGATAAAGAGAAAAGAAAACTGGAAGCACAGGGTCATGAAATGCAAAGAAAGAGGGTTCTTTTAAAAAAAAAATTTATGTGTATGAGTGTTTTGCCTGCATGTATGTAAGTGTATCGTGTGTACAGTGCCCACAGAGACCAGAAAGAGGGTGTTGGATCTCCTGGAATTTGAGTTACGAACTGTTCTTAGCTGCCATTGGGTGCTGGGACTTGACCCGGGTCCTCTGGAAGAACAGCAACTGTTCTTAACCCCTGAACCATCTCTCTGGCCCTAGAAAGAGTCTTTTAAAAAGAAGGCTACACACATATTGCCTGCCTGTATGTATATTATATGATCAGGCCATTGACCTCAAGGAAATACTGTTAAGGATAGAGCTGCAATGGAGATGAAAGAGTAGGTATCTCTACCATATGCTAACTTTGATTCCTTTGAGTAGATGTCTAAGAGTACAGGATTATATGGTAGTTCTATTTTTAACTTTCTGAGGAGCTTCTATACCAGTTTCCACAGTGTTTGAATTAATGCACAGTTTTAGCAACCATGCATAAGAGTTCTTTTTCCACCATCATTTTGCCAGCATTTATATTTGCTTGATTTCTTCATCATGGCCATTCTGACTGTAGTAAGATAGAATCTCACTGTAGGTTTTGCTAGGGACAAACCCCAGGGCCTTGCACATGGTAAGCAAGCATTCTATGCCTGAGTTTCATTCCCTAGCCTGCTAACATTTGATTTTTAATCCATGTATTAGAGAGAGAAAAAAAAAAACAAACTACACTTTGATGAAATCCTAAAAGAATGCTATGGCACTTCATAAAGATATACAACACCAAACATACTTCTTCTTTTTTCTCTCTATCTTTTTGAGACAGGGTCTCCCTGTAGCACCAGCTGGACTGGAACTCACTATGTAGACCAGGCTTGGCCTTGAACTCACAGAGATCTGCCTGCCTCTGCCTCCTGAATGCCTTTTTTTTTTTCAAACATACTTTGTAAGTGAAGAAACTGGAAAACAAAAAAGGGTGACAGTAAAACACAGCAATAGCTAAAGTTTTGCAGGCTAAGGCCAGCATACCTAATAGAAGTAGGCCCCAAATTTGGCTCTGGACACTATTAGACCCCACAGCCCTCAAAATAGGGTGGTGAGACAAAAAACAGTGTTTCTAGTAAAGCTTAAATTCCAGAAAAACAGCAGACTATTCTTAGTATAGGTAAGTGCTAGTTTCTAGGAGGTCCTCTAAATCTAGCAACCTACCAGAGAAGTGAAATGCAGCCATACTAAGCTATCTGACTAAGCAATCTCAACTAAAATTTAAAGGTTACCAATTTAATATGCTGAATCCTAGAAAGTCTTGCAGATCATTTGAATTCTTGTGCCATAAAAAGATAATAAATAGCTATATGGTCTTTGACTGGTTTTTTTTTTTTTTTCTTTTTTTCTTTTTGAGACAGGGTCTCGTAGCCCTATCTGGGCTAGAACTCACTATGTAGACCAGGCTGGCCTTGAACTCACAAAGATCCGCTTTATAATTTCTCATTAGTATATGTAGCATAGCAATTTCGTCCTTAGAGTTTTCTTTGTAGTAATTCTCATGATACTAATGTTTGCAGAATTGATGGTATCATCATTCTTTTTTAAAACTGACTTCCTGGTGTTTCTGTCATAAACACTGCCCTTTCAGCAAGTGATCTTCCTCTGAAAGCTTTTCCTGACTTTTTATATGCCTCTTGTAGTTCTGACGCTTTAATTTAGAATTGTTATCTAGCTTATTCTGAATATAAATTTTTATCTTAATCATTAATTTTTTAAGGAAAAAGACTCATTTTTCTTAAATTGGCTAAATATCAAATAATTAGCTTTGGTAGCTTTCAGTGTGTTCTCCGTACTTTCCTTTGTTCTCTGTAAATGGTTCTTTTCCGCAAGTAATGTTATAGATGCCAACTCCACTGTAGAATGTAATTTTGCCCTGTACCCTGAAGAAAAATATAGACAGTAACTGTACTCATAGATTTTCCTCTTTTTCCCCACCCCCCCCCAATTGTAAACAGGTGATGGAGAGTGAAGAGTTCATGTTACTTCCAGCCAATCAGCTCATTGATATAATATCTAGTGATGAGCTAAATGTTCGTAGTGAAGAACAAGTGTTCAATGCGGTAATGGCCTGGGTCAAATACAGTATTCAAGAAAGGCGGCCTCAGTTACCCCAGGTAATAATAGATATGCTTCTCCAGCTTTGTACTAGAAGAAATAATACGTACTTGTCTTGTAAAATGAAAGTTATGGCTCTCCTTATATTAGATTTTAAGACAGTTTACCTGTTTCCAAATAATCTAGGAAGTAAGCCTTTAGTCCAATTTGACTGTTGTGAACTTTTTGCTCCTCTGCCTCCCATCTTTTTGGACTTACTCTTTGAACTATAGCACAATTCAAAAATTATACAAAATGAACAAAAACAATGCTTCTGTCCCCATAGCTTGGAAATCCTACCACACTTTAAACAGTAAATGGATGGATTGAGGCATACATGGTCACTGAGTGAAATGTTTAAGATTCATTCTTTAGTCCCAGCATTTGGGAGGCAGAGGCAGCCTGGTCTACATAGTGAGTTCAGGTCAGCTGGGACTACAGGGAGACCCTGTCTCAAAAAGACAAAAAAAAAAAAAAAAGATTCATTCTTGTGGGCTGGAGAGATGGCTCAGCAGTTCAGAGCACTTGCTGTTCTCACAAAAGACCTATGTTTGGTTCCCAGCACCTACATGGTGGCTAACAGCCATCCTTAATACCAGTTCTAAGGAATTCAATGCCCTCTTCTGACCTCTGAGGACACTGCATGTATGTGGTGCACTTCTACACTCATACACATAAAATAAATTTTTTTAGATTTTTTTTAAAAGATTCATTCTTGTTATGACTATACTAATAGTCTGCTTCTTATCCAGAGGGGATATATTCCAAGATATTAATTGGATGAATAAAACCTTCAAACCCTTTATATACTGGTTTTTTTCCTGTATATACATTCCTATGATAGTTTCATTTATAAATTAGATGCAGTAGAGATTAACAGTAACTAATAGTAAACAGAATTATTATAGTAGTATACTATAATAAAAGTTATTTAAAACACAACTTTTTCATTTCTGGAATTTTTCTCTTATTTGCCCAGAGTTGACTACCAGTAACTGAAAACACAGAAAGTAAAATTGAAGGTAAAGGGAATCTTTAGTAATTTAACAGGATATTGTTAATGAATTTGGGTTCATTATAGAAGAGCTTATAGCACATTGTTGTAAGCTAAACATGGCATTCTGAAGTGAGACTCGTGTGCTTTCAGTTTTACAGGTCTTCTGCATTACTGACTCAGTAGTTAGAATTGATTTTAGGTTTACTTTTTATGCCTTCCACTTTCCTTTATTTATTATGCCTAGTGAGATCCCAGATACTTGAGGCACAGTCGGTAAGCCAGGATCACTCTTCTCTTAAAAGTCTGTAATGGGAGCTCATGCCTTTGGACTTAATATCTCCTAGGTGCTGCAACATGTTCGTCTGCCTTTGCTTAGTCCTAAGTTCCTGGTGGGCACAGTGGGCTCTGACCCCCTCATTAAAAGTGATGAAGAATGCAGGTACGGGCAGATGTGAAAAGTCAATAACTTAACATTCGTGTCTTCTCTTCTTTTTCTTGGTTTTTTTGTTTTGTTTTGTTTTGTTTTCCCTTTTTTTCTCCCCTGTTTTAATCTCCTTACTGATACTGTCTCTTAAATATTATATTTCTTATGCTGAAACCAGGGCAGTATTTACCAAGGTTTTTCTTCTAGACTAGAGTCAAGAGGAGGAAAAGAAAGAAGAGAGGACTAAACTTCCAGTATTCCATTTCATAGGGTTGTTTTGTTTTTGTTTTTGAAACAGGGTCTCATTATGCAGCCTGACTGGCCTGAAACTCACTATGTAGATCAGGCTGGCCTTGATCTCATAGAGATTAATCTGTCTCTGCCCTCTGAGAGCTGAGATTAAATGTGTGCACCACCATGCCCTGCTATTTTTTTTTTAATGTGCAATGTTTACTGGTATAAAAGTGGCAGTGAAGAGGTAGATTTCTAAGATTTTGATGCAAGTTTGAGTATGAAGATGTAATTTTCTACTACTGTTTCTCCTTGGAATAAACTAAGCAACGCTGTTGGGTCTGTCAGCACTTTTTCATTCCATCACATAATGTCTAATTGAAGAATAGAACCAGACTTATTTTGAAGATTGTAGACAGGTTTAAAGACCTGTCCCTCCTAAAGTAACTTTGGAAAGATCATTGCTAGAGGTAAGTGAAGTAGCTCCCCAATAATCTTTGAGAAAGAAAACCTCACCTCTTTACTGAGCTATCTCTGTAATATTTACATGCTTTAATTAATTGATTTCCCAGTTTGGCAGATTTTCAGTTTCATTTTCAAATCTGAAACCCTGTGGCTTTTTCTAAACATAAAAGTAAAAGAAGCTGCCAGGCGTGGGGGTGCACGCCTTTAATCCCAGCACTCAGGAGGCAGAGGCAGGTGGATCTCTGTGAGTTCAAGGCCAGCCTGGTCTACATAGTGAGTTCCAGGACAGCTGGGGCTACAGGGAGACTTATCTAAAAAAAAAAAAAAAAAAAAAAAAAAAAAAAAAAAAGTAAAAGAACAAATCAATATTCAGATCTACTCAAATTACGTTACCCTTTCTGTATCCCTTGGTGATTAAGGAAATTTAGAATTATCCAAGATTCTAGTACATAGGTAGGGCACATAAATTCTTTGCATTTCTTCTATAATCAGAACCCAGTTCCTTTAACAAGAGGTACAAAAGGTGAGATTCAATGGATGTCTTTTAAATTAAAAAAATAAATAAAGGCGGGGGGAGTCAGTAGACTTGCTGCCAAGTCTAACAACTTGAATTTTATCCTCAGTTTTATCCTCCATATGGTGGAGAAAGAGAACTGACTTCAAAATTTGTCCTCTGACCTCTGTATCCATGCTGTGACACATATACATGACCCCCGCCCCAATACACATACCAAATAAATAAATGATTTTTTTTAACTTTTAAATTTGGGGGAAAAAAACCCAGTTGAATAGCAGTCAGTTCCCCTAAACTTGAGAATAGCAGAAAATATGTAATATGTGAACAGTACAACCTGAAATATGAAGAAACATTACATGAATGTCTCTTCCCTTGTTCAGAATAAATCACATTGTATTGATCCTACTGTAGAAAGTAAGGTACTTGTGAATCATTTTTGAAAGACTGTCCCTGATGTCCTGACCCATAGTTCACTGGCTGTGTGATCCCAGACAGCATACTTCACTTTGGGCTATGGTTTCTTCACTATAAAGTGGGGATGATATTAATATCTGTTCCATAGGGCTTCTGTAAGAATTAAATAAGCTGATATATTAAGCACTTAAAGCAGAGACTAGCAAGTAGCTGTATTGATTTTATATTGGCTTGCTAAGTATTAGCTCTATTATACTCTGTCTAGGAACCCTTGACTGACTTAAAAACTTAGGAAATCAGTTTTTCAAGTTTGAGAAACTAGAAAAAACTCTTGAACTTTGGCTTGGTATTTTGTTTTCTGCTTATTTTGGTTTTAGGATAAATAAATTCAGAAGGAGAAAATACATTGTTGGGTTGTGCCTGGGACTGATCCTATAGGAATAAATTACTCTTTGTGGTGTAAATAGCAAGAGAAATTAAAATATAAAGTAGTTTGGGAAACACTTTGAGTTGTGGTATAACAGAGTAAGAATTTACACTTAAAGGTTCACATACACAAATTGTTTGAATGAGAATATTGTACTTAGCATGTGTAATTACCAGGTTCTTCTCTTTACAGTTGTTCTTAAGGAACAGTTGTGAGATATTTTTGTTCATGTCAGTGGGATGGTTGTATTAACCCATTCATATGATACCAGGTAGTAGTACCTTGGCATTAGGTACTACTAGAACACACGGTTCTTGACCCAGCTTTCATACTTTACTTATCTAGCAGTTACCTTGTGCCCTTGCTAATGGACTTCTGCAGTATCCTGTGGAACCTAATAAAACTCTCTAGAAAGTAGTGACTATTCAAGCTGGTAATCAAATTATAATTTTTAGTTTTTGTAAGTTATTGCCTGCTCCAAGACTGTTGAGCTTTAGCTTAAATTTGCATTTAGAAATCATGATGGAAATGCCAATCAATCCAGAATCCACCATTGGATTCACGACTAGCATCATTGCATTCATGTGCCAATGAAGTATTGGCTGGCATTAATGATCTGGTTTGATTGTGCCTGCCCCCTTTTGCCAACATATGTATTCTTAAATCATAAGACATTTAAAATAAATGCAATTTTCTTTTCTACAGAGACTTGGTAGATGAGGCTAAAAACTACCTCCTGTTGCCTCAAGAACGACCGCTAATGCAGGGACCAAGGACGAGACCACGGAAACCTATTCGATGTGGAGAAGTACTCTTTGCAGGTTTGAATCATTTTTGGTTTTGGTTTCAAGACAGGGTCTCCCTGTGTAGCCCATGCTGGCTTAGAACTTGCTATGTAGTCCAGGCTGGCCTCAAACTTATGATCCTAAGTTTCAGCCTCCTGGTGCTGAAATTGTAGGCATGTACCATCATGCCCTGCACAGGTTTGAATTTTAATATACCATGATTAAACCAAATATTTTCTCATGTGATTTAAATAATCATTTAGACAATTGTGCTATCTACTGTTGTAAGAAACATGTAATAAGTCAACAGTGCTATTCTTCAAAAGAGTGCTCTATTTTTAAATACATCCAAAAATATCATGTAGTATATGTTTTGTTTAAATGTGTTACATGCATTAATCTATATACCAAAGTACAGATCGTGGAATTGTCAAAAAAAAAAAAAAACCATTATCTTACATTATTAAATAGTTATACTTTTCTTAGCCATTTGACTTTGATTGAGATCCAAGACAACCTGATGTATTATTTGACTGCTATTATTTGCCCCTAAATCTTTGAAATCTTTCCTTTCTAGGCAGTTCAATTTTATCCATGTATGTTATTACTTCACATGTTACTGTAAGAAAATATGTGACAGGAAGAAACTTTTGGGAAGAAGAGCTTATCTTGGCTCAGTTTGAGGGTGGAGTCTGTCATGGTGGGGAAAGCACGGTGGCAAGAGTGGCTCTCAGCTCTGGCACCTGGCACGTGAAAGAGCTGGCCACACTGGCTCTGCATTCAGGAACCAGAGAGACATGAACATTAGTGCTCAACTTGCTTTCTTCTCTTTTCATTCAGTCCCAGATCCTAGTCCATGGGATGGTGCCACCCACATTCAGGGTGGGACTGCCCTCCTATGTGAACCTCCCTGAGAGCACCCTCATAGACACACCACAAATGTGTCTTCTAGGTGATTTGAATCTGAAAATTGAAAGTCAACAATACTTCAAAATCATGCCAGCACTCAAGAAGTTTTGGAATTTGGAAGATTTCAGATGAAAGACTGGGCAGTTAAAGTCTAGGCAAATACTATACAATCCGAAAAGCTAAAATCTGAAAACCTTCTGATTCTGGGCATTTCACAGAAGGGATAATCATCTTGCAGCTCATTCTCCAAAAAAATCCTGATTCATAGAGGTAGCTGGGACCTGTTGTCTCTTTTTACTTAAGATTGTTTCAGTAATTCCACATTTCTTAGATATGGATGTCCTTTGATTCTGTTGTCTCATTTTGATGTGTTAAGTGTTTCCATGGGAAAATTTCATACAGTCTGGAGCATAGTAGTTCCCTTTTCCACCAGTCTAACCACTTGCCTGTCTTTTTCTCTCCACATACTTTCTACCATATTTTAATTGTTTAATTATTTTATGTATATGAGTGTTTTACCTACACATACGTGACTATGCCCCTATTGTACAATACCTGCGAAAGTCAGAAGATGGTGTCAGATCCCCTGGAACTGGAGTTACAGATGGTTGTTAGCTGTCATGTGGGTACTGTGAACAGAACCCAGGTCCTCTGGAAGAGTAGCCAGTGCTCTTAACCACTGAGTCATCTCTCCAGGTCCATTAGTTATTTTGAGACAAGGTATCACTGTATAGCCAAGATGGGCCTGAAACTCGCCTTCTTCCCATCTCAACCTCTTGTGTGCTGGGATCACAGGCATGCATCACTATGCCTGGCTTCCCCTATATGTGTGTATCTGTATTTTTTTTTTAAGATTTATTTTTAATTTCATGTATCTGTTTGACTGCATGTGTATATATGTACTACATGAGTGCTTGGTGCCTGTAGAGGCCAGAAGAGGGTGCCAGAGCCTCTGGAACTAGTGTTATAGATAGTTGTAAGCTGCCATGTGGTGCTAAGAACTGAACCTGGGTCTTTTACAAGAGCAGCAAGTGCTCTCAGCCACTGAGCCATCTCTCAGCCCCAATTTAAAAATTTTTACATTTACTTATTGTATGTGTCTGCACACATATGCTCACATGTGCACCATCATGCATGTTGTCCACCATGTTGATTCTGGGAATCAAACTCAGGTTGTCAGGCTTTGCAGCAAACACCTTTACCCACTGAGCCATCTTTCTGGGCCCCATATATATAGTTATAGTTATATATATTATATACCTGGCCTAGAACTTGCTATGTAGACCAGGCTGGCCTCAGTCGCACAGAGATTCTGCCTGCCTCTGCCTCCTGAGTGCTGGGATTAAAGTTGTATGCCACCACACCCTATATATTTATTTTTGTTGTTGTTTTAAATATTTTATTTATTATTTTTATTTTATGTGTATGAGTGTATTGCCTGCATGTATGTGAGTGCATCTGTGTCGTGCAATGCCACGGAGATGAAAAGAGGGTGTCAGATTCCCCTGGAACTGGAGTTAAGGACGGTTCATAGCCACCATGTGGGTGCTGGAAATCAAACCCAGGTCCTCTGCAAGAGCAGTCAGTGCTCTTAACCGCTGAGCCCTATATATTTTTAGAAGGAAAATTTGATCATTTATAGCATCTCAGTTTTTTTCATTGAATTTTCCTCATATAAAAAACATTGATACCAAATTTTCTTCTTTCTAATTTTTTTTTTTGGACAGTCCTTCATTTCTGTTTTAGGCTTTGAGCTTAATTATTAATTCATCATGCACTGAATATTCCCAGACTACCAACATCCTAATGTCTTGTTATTACTGATTTTTCATTTCTGGTATCATTTGTATTCTAATTTTCATTCTTTCTGTGTCTGTGTATGCTGCTAAGGATAAACACAGGGCCTTGCTCATGTAAGACAAGTGCATGCACAGCCCTGTTTCCATTGTTTATATGCACATACATGTACACATTTGTGTACTGATATGAGGTCATACAGATATTTGCATGTTCACATCTGTACATGTCTGCATACCAGTGGAAAGATTTAAATTGGTTCCTTAAAGGTCCATTTTTTTTTCCTTTTGATACGGAAGAACACCATTTATGAAGTAGTATTTATTTCTTTTGAAACCATACAATCCAATAAAAAGCTGGTTTTAATGGCTTCCACAGAATATGCCAGAGATTTCAAGATTAGGCTATTTGATTGATCTCAAGTGTTATGAACCCTCACATTTCCAGCCTAGGTCCATTTTAATTTACTGTGTTTTCTCTGATACTGAAATTCCTTGTAATATGCCCAGTTACACAGTTCACATTTAAGCAAGTAACTAAACACAAGACTTGCTGTGATTTAGTATTAGTTGACTATTCTGATTTAAATGAAACAATAAAATAATATCACATTGAGATTTGAAATAAAGAAAAGGAACTTTTAGGTCCACCTAGAAGATAATTAAGAATATTATTCCCCCCCTTCATTTGGTTCAGGAATTTAGTTGCAACCCTGTAGAAACTAGTGATTTCCAGATGTTTTGTAGTTAAAATAATCTTATACTTTAGGTGGTGCGTGGTGGCATATGACTTTAGTCCCAGCACTTCGGAGGCAGAGGCAGGTGGATCCCTGTGAGTTCAAGGCCACCCTGGTCTACATAGTGGGTTCCAGGCCAGCTGGGGCTACAGGGAGACCCTATCTCAAAAAAAACGGAGGTACACACACAAAAAAAAATAATAATAATAAATTTTATACTTTAATATTTAAGCTTCAGAATTTCTTATTTTAGACTGAGATGAGGATGCTTTGAAAGAAAAACAAATTGAGTTTATCTGGCATTACCATGTTTTCTTCCAGGGGTCATTTAGAGAAGCTTACTGAAACTTGGCTTGGCACTGTTATTCTAAATATTATTCACCCTGTTAGTCTACCCAGACTGCCATAACAAAATACCGTAGATCGGGTAGTTCAAACAAAAGAAATTTATTTTCTCACAGTTCTGGAGACTGGAAGTCCAAGATCCAGGTTATAGCCAGTGAGTTCTTGGTGAGTTGAACTTGTGCTTTGACCTGCTTCTACATACACTTGCTTAGTCAGAGTGTTAGGACACTGTGAGTGTAGCAGTCTGTTTTCAGGCAGGTTTCTCTGAACAATTTCTGTTGTTTCCTAGTTGGTGGTTGGTGCAGTGGAGATGCCATTTCCAGTGTTGAACGATATGACCCACAGACCAATGAATGGCGAATGGTAGCTTCAATGAGTAAAAGGCGATGTGGAGTTGGAGTCAGTGTCCTTGATGACCTGTTATATGCAGTAGGAGGCCATGATGGATCCTCTTATCTTAATAGTGTTGAAAGGTGAGTAAGGTGAATTTGAAAAAAAAAAAAAAATCCCTATTATCCCTACAATTTTGTTTGAATTGTTTATTAGGAAACTGATGTGACTTACTATTTTAGTATTAGGTCTATGGAACCATTTAACAGTCTAGACCCCTTAGCATGGCATACAAGTCCTTTATGATCTGATCTCCATCTATTTTTCCAGTCTGTCATTCCCTAAACATGCTCCTAAGATTCAACAGATTGTTTGCAGCTCTTTGACATGCTGTCTTCCTTCCTACCGCTATCCCTGCATATATGCATGCTATTTTCCCCTGGTGTGTCTGCCCCTTTTTAAGGCTTTAAACAAAATTTAAAATGCTACTTCCTAAATAAAACCTTCTCTGACTATAAAGGTGAGTTACTCATTCCTCTGCTCTTCCAGTGGTATTTTGACCAGGCTTGTATATACTGTACTGTACAATGTTGAAATGTCTTTTTCCATATTATCTATCACAGTACCTGGAACATTAGAAATCTACAGTGATTCATTAAGTTTCTTGTTCCCACACATTCACTTTCATTAAGCTGTGTTGATCTGCATTGATTCTTGTTATTTGCATACCATATCTGTAAAAACTGATGTATCTAGCTTGGGATATTTGTTCTAGATATAGTATTGCTAAAAAAAAGAGGGATTGATTCCATAGAATTGAGGAGGGAGGGATGGCAGGGACAAAAACACTTAAAAATAAATTTATGAGTTAAATAAATCAAAGTATAAATGACTAAGTATTTATGACTTATGTATATCAAAATATAAAATGAAACTGAGGTAGTACACAGAGGCAAATATATGGATAGTAACTTATATGCACTTGAAAATAAGATGAAAGGGACAGCTGGGTGTGGTGACACACACCTGTAATTCAGCACTTAGGAAGCTGAGGGAGGAGGATTACAAGTTCAAGGCCGTTCTGAAATACAGAATGAGACCCTATCTCAAAGAGAAAAAGAAAAAAAAACTGAATTTTGCTTTTAAATCAAGAAGTGTAGAGAAAGCAACAAAACCTAGCAAAACAGAAATATCAGTAAGGAAGAAAGAAAAATTAATGAAATTTTAAAAATGAAAATAGAGGTTGGGCATGGTGGCACACGCCTTTTCTCCCAGCACCTACACAGAGGCAGGGAGAGCTCTGTGGGATCAAGGCCAGCGTGGTCTACATAGCCAGCTCCAGGTCAGTTGGGACTAAACTGAAACCTTCTCTCAAAAAATTAAAAATGAATAAATAAATAAGTAAATAAAATGGATATAAATACAAAAAAAATTTTGATGATAATTTTGATGTTTTCTGGTTTTACAGTGCTGAGTCTTGAACTGAGGACCTTGTGCATGCTAGATAAGTACTCTACTATTGATTATGAGCCCAGCCTGATAGTCCCTATTTTTAATTATTTAAAGTATCAGAAACAACCTGAGAATGTATCAATAAGAATATAATTAAGCAATGGATGGCACATTATTACAAAATAGTTCAATGGAAAAAAATCTAGTTATATTAACATAAAGAGATCAAAACTATATCAAGAGGGGCTGAAGAGATGACTCAGTGGTTAACAGCACTGGCTGCTCTTGCAGAGGACCCACGTTCTATTCCCAGCACCAACCGGCTATAACTTTAGTTCCAGGGGATCTGATGCTCTCTTCTGACCTTTGCAGGCATTGTACAACACCAGAGCACTTGCAGGCAAAACACTCATACACATAAAATAAAAATAAATAAATCGGGCTGGAGAGATGGCTTAGTGATTAAGAGCACTTACTGCTCTTCCAGAGGACCTAGGTGTGGTTCCCAGCACCCACATCATGGCTAACAACCATCCTTACTCCAGTTCCAGGGGATCCAACACCCCTCTTCTGACTCCCACAGGCATTGTACAACATGAGTGCACTTCCATACATGCAGGCAAAACACTCATACACATAAAATTTTAAAAATAGTAAGTTAAAAAAATTTTAAATACATATATACACACATCAGTGAGAAAACTATGTGGTACTAGTTATGTAAAACATTCTTGCATATAATAAGTATGTAGATATACATATACATGTTTAAAGTATTTTACTATAAAAGCTTGGAGGATATATGCCAAATCAGAATTGGAAGAGACCAGAACTGAGATGGAATTCAAAGGGGAGTTTGGCTTTATCAGTAACATTCAGATTTTTAAAAAATAAAATACATTTTTAATGAATGTTAAAAAAATGAATTAAAAAATAAAAATTAGGCTGGGGATGTGGCTTGGTAGTAGCACACTTACTAGACCCTCAGCTTGATCCTCAGCACTACTCAGTTTTCATATGCTTTGACTATTAATCAGTCTATGTTTGGGGAAAAGAATATGTGTCCTGGAAACCCTTGCACAGAAATAGATGTTTACATATTTCAAATAGCATAAATGTAGCCAAGTGTCTGTTGTATAATACAAACTTTCCTCTGCATGTGTTCTCTGCAGATATGACCCCAAGACAAACCAGTGGAGCAGTGACGTGGCCCCTACAAGCACCTGCAGAACAAGTGTTGGTGTGGCAGTACTTGGAGGTTTTCTCTATGCTGTGGGGGGCCAGGATGGCGTCTCTTGCCTCAATATTGTTGAGAGGTGATTGTTTTTTTCAATTAAAGTAATTTTCAGTGTTTTTAAGTGGACAGCTAGAGTTCTTTTTGTAACTTTATATAGCCCTGGCTGGCTAGACCTTGCTCTATAAACTAGACTGGCCTCACACTTGCTGCACTTGTCCTGCCTCTGCCTCCTGATTGCTAGAATTACAAGTATACACCATCATGCCCAGTGTGGCTTAGGGTTATACCAGAATTTAGGACACTGGGGATCTACTATGCAGTGCATTTCCCATAGGATTTCAGGAAAAAGTTTTCAGTTGATGTTAAAATATAGAAAGACTACAAAATATGAAAATTGTCTGCTTATTTGTTTGTTTTGAAACAAGGTCTTACTATGTAGCCCTGGCTGGCCTGGAACTTACTATGTAGACCAGGATGGCCTCCATCTCACAGAGATCTGCCTGCCTCTGCCTCTCAGATGCTGGGGTTAAAGGCATGCACCACCACACTCAGTCAAGGTATGAAAATATTTTAATTATTTTTGTTGTTGTACATGCATGTCTATGTGCACATATACAACAGAGCACATGTTAAGGTCAGGAGAAAGCTTTTGGGAATCGGTTCTCTCCTTACACTGTGTGGCTCCTGGGATGGAACTCAGGTTTTTAGGCTTGGCAACAGGCACCTTGACCAGCTGAGCCATCTCACCAGCCCTTAATCTGCTTTTGTTGTTGTTGTTGTTTTACTATTTGTGTGTGTGTGTGTGTGTGTGTATTTGTTACTTATTCTGTTGCTGTGATAAAACACCATGACCAAGCCGGGTGTGGTGGTGCACGCCTGTAGTCCCAGCACTTGGGAGGCAGAGGCAGGCGGATCTCTGTGAGTTCAAGTCCAGCCTGGTCTACATAGTGAGTTCCAGGACAGCTGGGGCTACAGGGAGACCCTACTTCAAAAAGACCAAAAAAAAAAAAAAAACCACCACAACCAAGGCAACTTATAGAAGGAAGAGGAATAAGAATCCATCATGGTGGGGAGATATGTCAAGAGGCAGCCAGAGCAGAAAGCTATGTGCTCACATCTTCAAACTGGCAGAAAGGAGGGAAGGGGGAGAGAGGGAGGAGGGGGGAGGGAGAGGAAGACAGATACTGGAAGTGGGCAAGCTACCCAGTGACATGCTTCCTCCAGCAAGGCCATACCTCCTAAACCTCTGCTATTGGCACCAACTGGAGCCAAATATTCAAATACTTGAAACCTGTGAGGGACATTTCTCATTCAAACCACCACAGTGTGGAGGTCAGAGGACAAATTTGTGGAATTGGTTCTCTTTCTACCTGTATGTAGATTTCAGGTTTGACTCAGGTCACTAGGCTTACACAAGCACCTTTACCCACTGAATCAGCTCACCACCACCCCCAATCTATTTTTTAATTGGCAAAAATTATATTTATAGTAAACATGATGTTCTGGGTGTTTTTGTCAGGTTTTTTTCTTTGTTTTTGTTTTTTTCTGTAGCCAAAGCTGGCCTGGAACTTACTATGTAGACCAGACTGGCCTCAATCTCACAGAGATCTACTCACCTCTACCTCCCAAGTGCTGGGATTAAAGACATCCACCACCACACCCAGCATAAAACATGATGTTTTAAAATATGTATAACTTGTAGAATGGCAAAATCAAGCTAATTAAGAGATGTATTACTTCACATACTTATTTTTTTTAGTGAAGACACTTACAATCACTTATAACAGTTTTCAGACACATGACACATTGTTATTAATTAGTCCCTGTGCTGCACTTCAGATTTCTTGAACTTATTTCTCAAATCTTGTAGGCTTTGAGCAGCCCCTGCCCCAGTGCAGTGAGAGTGAAGCCTGGTCCACTCTTTGCTTCTATAAGTTACTTTTTGATTCCATTTTCAAGATCATGTGGTATTCCTTCATGTGCCTGACTTATTTCACTTAAGAAAAGATCTGCCATGTTCATCCTATTGTTACAAATGACAAATTTTCTGACTTCTTAAAGCTAACTAGGGCTCTGTATGTGTGTGTGTGTGTGTGTGTGTGTGTGTGTGTGTGTGTGTAGCACAATTTTTTTAAGCTAGGGTAAATCTTTGTATCTGGTATATCTCTGGTGTGATCTTAGACCTTGTGGAAACTACTCCGGCTAGTAGAAATATGGTTTCTCTCCTGCAGGTATGACCCAAAGGAGAACAAGTGGACTCGGGTGGCTTCTATGAGCACTAGAAGACTAGGTGTGGCCGTGGCTGTGTTGGGAGGGTTCTTATATGCTGTAGGTGGCTCTGATGGGACATCTCCACTCAACACAGGTTAGTCCCTCCCCAAGGCAGTCTGATTCCCAAAAGCAGCACATTTTCCTGGGTAGAACCCCTCTATGAAAAAGTATTTATTCTAAGTTCAGGGTATTCTATAATTTTAATATATTTTATTAATTCTTTGAGAATTTCATACAATGAATTTTGATCGTATTAACCCCTCCTCCCTCTAGTTCCTCCCAGATCCACCTCTCTACTTCCTTACCCCCTCCCAAGTTCCTGTCCTGTTTTTTCAGTTTGCACTCCCCATTTACTCATGGGTGTATTCTATAATTTTTAAGAAAATGTTTTATTTTTCTCTCTAGGAGAATGTAGCTCCTAACTTCTTCTAAGATGTTCCCAAAATATTTCCTTCTCTCTCCATTTATAAGCTGCTAGAAACTTATAATGAACTTTAGAAAATCTACTTTCTGAATATAATTATTTCCCTTTACCCTATAATCACCACCTCCTCCTCAATTAAAAAAAAAAGAGCTAATATTATCATCTAATAATAAATAAAACCTTAGAACTAGAAACTGCTTTGCCCTTTCTAACTAGAAATAATGTGTATTTTCATCTAGGATATTGTCAGAGGCACTCACATCAGATTCACTGTCTTGTTTCTTCTCTTCAGTGGTTTAAACGGCAGTAGGCAAGCCAGGCATGGTAGCACAGACCTGTAATCCCAGAACTTGGGAGGCAGAGACAAGGAGGATCATAAGTTTAAGGACAGCCTTAGCTACAAAGTGAGTTCTAGACCAGGGCTGTGTAGCAAGATCCTGACTCAAAAAAGTAAAACGAGAATAAGTAAGTGAGTAGCAGTGAGGGAGCAGAAGCGTTCAGAAGTTATCTGAATAGACCAGTAAATTGTTAGTACTGAACTCTTATAAGTCATAATCGGGGCCGGGCATGGTGGTGTAGGCCTTTAATCCCAGCACTTGGGAGGCAGAGGCAGGCGGATCTCTGTGAGTTCAAGGCCAGCCTGGTCTACATAGTGAGTTCCAGGACAGCTGGGGCTACAGGGAGACCCTGTCTCAAAAAGACCAAAAAAAAAAAAATCATAATCCAATTCCACCCCATTTGAACACAATGCAAGTGAGGCTAATTAGTCATATAGCCCAAAGTAGAACTCATGTCCTCAGTACATGCCCTTTCCATCATAAGAAGACTGGAAGAAACTGGTCCCTGATGAGAGGATAGATGACAGTTTTCGAAGACGTACAAATCCTTCTCAAAAGCAGAAATCAGATTTTGTATTAAATATATGTCTTCACAGTTTGGTGGCTCTGAAGTAAACACTGAGTGGTCTCTTACTAGTCTTTCTCTTCACTGCAGTGGAGCGCTACAATCCTCAGGAAAACAGATGGCACACCATAGCCCCTATGGGGACTCGAAGGAAACACCTAGGCTGTGCCGTGTACCAGGACATGATCTATGCTGTAGGAGGGAGAGATGACACTACAGAGCTTAGCAGTGCTGAGCGATACAACCCCAGAGCTAACCAGTGGTCTCCAGTGGTGGCCATGACATCCCGCCGGAGTGGAGTAAGTGCTCAGCACTGACAGCTTTGCGCTTTGGAAAACAAGCAGAGGAAAGAAGGCTGTGCAGAGGGGTGCTCTGACCCATAAAATATACTAGAAGACTGAGGAGGTGAACTGCCAGTGTTCACATACTTTATTTTCAACTGTCTCAGCTACTCACTTTGCTTTTAGGCAAAACCGGGGGGGGAGGAGGGGGGCGGAACACCTGAATTTCTTTGGATTGCTTTTAAGTCCAGTAGCTAAATATTTTATATCCATTCATAGATTTAATTAGATTTTTTTTTATTATTTACCTTGTATAAGTTGTTTCTCTGAAAGATATCTCCCCTTAGTAACCACTCCTTTATCTGACTTTGTGTCTGTTAGCTAACAATTCCTGTGTAACATCTCTAGCTGTTTTTCTATGTAGACTTTGTGTACTAATACAAACATACCTGGTCCTACAAATCTCCAAAAGCTGACTTGAGTCTGTCCCATCGGGAGTGTAGGCCAAACCTGACTGTCCTGTGTCATGCTTTCATCCAGGAGTAACCTTTCAGTAAGAGATGTCGAAGGTAGCACATTAAATTCATCTTTCTGGGAATGTTTGGCTCAGAGAAACCTTACCCACTGACCACTGATAATAGCAGGAGTCCATCAGTGTAGGACACATGGACATTAGGAAGAAGCAAGCAGAACCTAAAGACTCCATAATTGAAGGATAAAGAGAATTCTGATTTGCATAAATCATGGAGTCTCACTAGAAGGCATCGGCAAGAGAAAGCATTCACATATCTGGCTTCTCATTACTGGCAACTAAAAGACATTTAGTCATATTCCTGTTGTTCTCACTGCCACGTCCTATGTTTTCACTCATTTAGCAAGTATGTGAGTATTCACTGTGCTGAGAAGGCAAAACAGTCTAGGACGTGATTCTCTGTGAGGAGCTCTCAGTGTAGTGAAGGAAATGACATGTGTACAACCAACTACAGTAATGATATGCCATGGTAGCAGACATGGGAGATTGTGCTTAATACCTTGGAGAAGTAAGAATTGGAGGGGGCAATGAAGAAGAGCCTACCACAGTCACATGAAAGCTAGACAATGAAAGTTGGTTTTCTGGAAGAGGATCAGAAAACACCAATAGGAAACGTGTGTAAACACATGCATTATTTAAAATGTATGGTGTTTAGGAGACTAATAGTTAATCTAGCATTAGTGCAGCATAGGGCACATTAGGAGGGTCAGAGAACTGTAGGTGAGGCTGAACATGGTGCTATAGCAAATTTCTGAAAGGCCTGAGTAACATTAAGGGCTTTAAACGTATCATTAGGCAGGAGAGATGCTTAGAAAGTTTCTGAACAGGAATGATGTTTATATTTATATTTTTAAGAATATTTTAGTAGCAGTTTAGAAAGTGGATTAAAGTGAGCAAACTAAAAATGAGAACTGTTCGCAGGGTCTTCTTCATACCTAGTGATTTTTATTTTCTAAAATTTAAAAAGTACATGTTTTTACTCACTCTTATGTACGTGTAGTAATTAATACATAATTTTATGTTTCCCACAATTTTGTAGATTATTGTTACTTTTTCCTCTATGAATTAAAGTAACTAGAATGTGATCCCATAAGGAATTAGGTAAAAGAAACCATCTAAAATTTCCCAGCAGTTGCTTCAGCTCTTCAGCAGCCTCTGTTTTGGTCTTACAGGTTGGCCTGGCAGTGGTCAATGGACAGCTCATGGCAGTAGGAGGTTTTGATGGCACAACGTACTTGAAGACCATTGAAGTTTTTGATCCAGATGCTAATACTTGGAGGTAACCTTTAGGCTGTGTTTCAAGTTTCTTCACTACTAGCTTGAAGTCATGGGCTTGAGATAGCACATGACCACTAAAACTGGGATGGCCAGTGCACCCAAGTCCATCTGGTAGTACTTTGAAGTGGGCTGGAGTAACCCAGACCTGATGGCTCATTTTGACTTGGTCACTCTAAAGTATCTGATATAAAATTGTAAAATTCTCTCTGGCAACTAACCACTTTTATAATTAGAGATAAGGAAAAAAGAAATTCTTATCTCTATCACGTCCATCCAAAGGACTGAGGAAACAGTTATGCCTAAGTTAGTGGCATAATTAGAATTTGAACCTAGGCCTTTGGCTCGCAGTCTGTCAGTGTAGGTTTTTGCTTTTATAAGAAACCTTTTTTTTTTTTGTCTCTTTGAAGCAGGATCTCCCTGTAGCCCCAGCTGTCCTGGAACTCACTATGTAGACCAGGCTGGCCTTGAACTTACAGAGATCCGCCTGCCTCTGCCTCCCAAGTGCTGGGACTACAGGCGTGTGCCACCACACCCAGCTGAGGAGCCTTATTTCTAAGGAGCAAAAATGCATTTACTTTTTAAAAAATCTTAAAATCCCTTTTTCCTTTAGCTCTTAAAAATGTACTTACAGTTGGATGTGGTCACTTGTGCACTTGAGGCAGAGGCAAGCAGATTTCTGTGAGATGGAGGCCAGCCTGATCTACATAACAAGTTCCAGGCCAGCTGGGGCTGCAGGGAGATCCTGTCTCAAAAAAAAAAAAAAAAAAAAAAAAGTATTTACATAGATTCTTCTATTTTGAACTAGTATATATTAATGTTCATTTTTAGATAGGAAGCTGTATCTTAAAGAGGTGTTCTATGTTAAGCTTCATTTTATAGATTTAATTTTATGTTGCTTTCAAATCCTTAGCTCTTGCCAGGCATGGTAGTGCATGCCTTTAGTCCCAGCACTCTGGAGGCAGAGGCAGAGGCAGGCAGATCTCTATGAGTTCAAGGCCAGCCTGGTCTACATAGCGAGTTCCTGGCCAACTGGGGCCACAGGAGGACCCTGTCTCAAAAAAAAAAAAAAATCTTTAGTTAGTTCTCAGGACTGGGGTTGTAGCACAATGGTACATGCCTACCCTGGGCTCAATCTCCAGTACTCTCCCTACCCCCAAATGTTAGGTGATTCATCTATTTATTTAAATATTCAAAATATTATAAAATTAGTAAAATTCTTTTATATTTTTTAATTTAATAATGGAGTCTATGGGGCTAGAGAGATAGTTCAGCAGTTAAGAGCATTGGCTGCTCTTGCAGAGAACCCGGGTTCAATTCCCAATATCCACATGGCAGCTAACAGTCATCTGTTACTCTAGTTCCAGGGGATCTGCTGCCCTCTTCCAACCTCCACGGGGATTGCACAACATGGGTGCACTTACACACATGCAGGCAATATACTCATACACAGAAAACAAAAATAATAAATAAAATATTAAATAATTAAATCTAACCTTTTAAATATCATAAGAACTTATGATGCCAAATATAAAGTTAGGCCTCAAATATAATAACTATTAGTCCCATGAAGTTGATGTACTTCGTAGCTGTATTAATTCTAAATGAATCTTCCAAGAAAAGCCTTCTAAGCAACTTGGGGTTTTCTTTTTAAAAAGTTGGACTTACAGCCGGGCATGGTGGTGCACACCTGTAGTCCCAGCACTTGGGAGGTAGAGGCAGGCTGATCTCTGTGAGTTCAAGACCAGCCTGGTCTACATAGTGAGTTCCAGGACAGCTGGGGCTACAGGGAGACCCTGTCTCAAAAAAACAACAAAAAAAATAGTTGGACCTTTTTGCTTCAGCAAATTTTAGGTTGCCATCTCAGTGGCTGAGGTTAGAACCAGAGATGAGCATTTGAACATGAGTACAGGCAGCAGACATGCTGAGAGACTTCTCATAAGGACTCACTGAGCCCTGTCTTATGGTTATTCTATAAGTAGTCTTGGGGTCCGTTCCCACCATGTTCCAGTTTTAACTCTTCTAAACTTTGAGCCTAGCTACCCAGTCTCTCTCTCTCTCTCTCTCTCTCTCTCTCTCTCTCTCTCTCTCTCTCTCCCTCTCCCAGCCCCCCCCCCCCCCACCCCCGTTGCCCAGGTTGGCCTAGAATGCATTATGTACAGCCTAGACTAGCCTTGAGTGGGCAGTCCTCCTGCCTTATCCTCCCATGTGCTGGGATTAGAGGCGTTACCAGACCTGGTCCAAGCCCCAAACCAATTTTATCTCATTGCCAAATGAGGATCTAGTATTTTTTCCCTGGAAGTCTTTAACTTTGAAGATGATCTAGTTCACATGTCATAAATTGTTGATGCTATTTACTCTGTGTAGTCTTTCCATATAGAATTTGAGGATAAAAGGATAAAAATAAATAGTTGATAGGCTAGGGAGTTAGCTTAGTTCGCAAAGTGCTTGCTCTGCAGGCATGAGGACCTGAAATTAGATCCCCAGAACCCACATAAAAAGCCAAGCATGGTGGCACACATCTGTAATCCAGGGCTAGGGGGTGGGGGCAGATAGGGGTTTGATGGCCAGTCAACCTAGCTTACTTGGTGAGTTCCAGGCCAAACGAGAGACCTGTCTCAAGAAACAAGGTAGATTTCACCTGAGGAATGACATCTCAGATGACCTCTGGCCTCCACACAGATATGCACCCACACACAATGCACATACACAAAATAAGTAAATGATTAAAATTGACACAGCTGTGCATGGTGGCTCACACATATAATGCCTGCACTTGGGGAGCTGAGGAAGGAAGGTTGCCATGGTTTGAAGCCAGCCTAGGCTAGCGTGGGAACAGCTTAAAATTCAAATAGAAAAAGAAAATGAAAATAATTGAGGTGGGCATACTGGCACATAGCTGTAATCCCAGCACTTGGGAGGTTGAAGCCCAAGGAAGATCTAGAGTTTGAGACCACGCTGTGCTACACAGCAAGACCCTATCTCAGAAAAATTTAATTAAAGAATAAATAAATGAAGTTTGGAGCAAAGAAAAAAGAAAATGCAGCTAGGAAAATAAATGGCCAGGGGCAGAATTACATAGAAAGATGTAGAACCTAAGATTCTGTATAAGTCTAGGTGTAAAGTTCTGATGCAAGAAGTGAGTATGTTCTTCATTCTTTAACCATTGTTTTATGAGAACCTTTCAGTCAGTGTCTGAATTAATTCTACTTACCCATTTCAATCAGCTTCCAATCTTTGGAAGAGTCTTATGAAGCTACGAATGTGACTGATGCCTTAGAGAAGAAACAGTGATTTTCCCAGTTAGAAAATGTTTGTTTTTATCTTTGCAGGTTATATGGAGGGATGAATTACCGTCGGCTAGGAGGTGGTGTGGGCGTCATTAAAATGACACACTGCGAATCCCATATATGGTGAACACACAGAAGAAAGTCTCATAAATGCTCCTCTATATTTGGGAGAGCCTTGACTTTGAAGCTTTGTACAGCTTGAAAAACATTAGAAAAAATTTTATTCTTTGCTGGTGCCTCAACATATGAAAATACAGATCTAATGATGAAGCTTCACCTGTAAGATGCCACCTTTGCACAATAATTTTCAACTCTGTGCAGAACAATATTTATTTTTGGCTTTAATTTATCTTGGAGTTTTGGTGGGGATTTTTGTTTGTTTGGTTTTTGTTTTCTTGGCTCAGTCCTTTAGGGTGATTTTCTTTTTGAGACAGGGTCTCCTTGTACCCCAGCTGTCCAAGTAGCAAAGCCTACTTTGCTTTTAAGGTTTTGATTTGATTTGGGAAGTATTGAGAAGGGCAGAAGGGCTATGTATGATCTGGTTATTTCTTTTGGGGGGCATATTTTTATTCTTTGAGAATTTCATGCGATGTGTTTTGATCATACCTCAACTCCAATCCCCTAACTCCTCCCTACTTCCCTAATGGAACTTAGTGTCTTTTTTTTTTAATGACCCATGAACTCCAGTTTGTATTATTCATATACTCCTGGGTGTGGGGCCATCACTGGAGCTTGGTCAACCTACCAGGTGCCACACCCTTAAAGGAAACTGACTGTCCCTCCCCCTCATGCCGTCAACTGTACATAGCTCCTCAGTTAGGGCCCCTTCCCACTTCATGCTAGAATTTGACTGGCTTGATCTTATGCAGGTCTTGTGCAGGCAACCACAGCTTCTGTGAGTTCATGAGTGCAACGGTCCTGTCAGTCCAAAAGACACTGTGTCACTCCTTCACTTCACTCCTCCTCAGCCTCTGGCTCCTCCTACCTCCCCATCCCCCGCTTCTATGATGGTCCCTGAGCCTTAGGGAGAGGCTGTGATAGCAATGTCCCATTTGTGTCAGAGCTCCCCATAGATCATTATTCTCTGCACTTTGACCAGTTGTGAGTTTTATTTCTACTAGACACTCCATCCATATATGAAGATTGTCAGTGATAAAGATAGGTTTGCAAAGTATGTTACCAATTATCATTCTTGCACCAAGCATCAGGACACTCAAAAAATGTAAAAGAAGGGGCTCAGTGGTTAAGAGCACTTGCTGCTCTTGCAGTTCTTGCAGAAAATCCACATTCAGTTCCTAGTACCCATGTTGGGCAGATCACAACTGCCTAATCTCCAGTTCTAGGAGGATCCAGGGCTCTCTTCTGACCTCCATGGGCACCTGAACTCACATGCACGTACATACACATACAGACACATATACATACAATTAAAAAATTTTTTAATTTTAATATAAAAGAAAACTAGGAAACATCTCATTAAATAGAATAATTAAGAAGGAATATTAGCCGGGCATGGTGGCGCACGTCTTTAATCCCACCACTTGGGAGGCAGAGGCAGGAGGATCTTTGTGAGTTCAAGGTCAGCCTGATCTACATAGTGAGTTCTAGGACAGCTGGGGCTACAAGGAGGCCCTGTCTCAAAAAGACAAAAAATATATATATATTAACTCAATAAAAGCAGGACTGTGATGCTAGTTTTCATTCAGCAGTGGACGTTTACATTTTATCTCCTTACCAAACTTGTTTTCAACTGTTTTTCTGTTTTGTTTATAATATTCTCACAGAGTTTCATCTGTATCTATCTAGATCCCTGCTCAGTGCCTCTTATAAACAGTACATGAGTCTCATTCACTGTCTTGAGAATCCCCTAATAAAATCACCTGCAACTCTGCAAGTTTTTGCTAACAAATGTTACCACCTGCAACAACTTTCTGCCTATTTCCTTATTACCACTAAGGGCCAGCAAGAAGAAAAGACCTCTGACAGTGAATTATCAGTTTACACTGGGTGCTGCAGCATGGTGAAACTGGGGCTTTGAAAAGAATGACATTTTCAGTTCATGTTAAGGAGTGTCAGCCAGCTAAAGCATCTTACCAATATCTGGGTTCTTTTATGCAAATTGTATATCATCTTTCATTCTATAAGGCCACTGTTACTATTTCTCTCAAGTTGCACTTTCTGAAGAAAGGTTAAATTTTTTAAGGAAATAAATGAAAATATTGGTGGCTAAAGCTTTTTTTTTTTTTTCCTTATAGTCATAGACCAATTTATTTTTTAATGTATTTTGCAGGAAAATCTTTGAATGAGACTTAAAAACAAAACAAATAACCTTTACCTTCTCCCTCTCCCCTACAACAAAAATGTTTGGCAACATTTGTGTTTACATTTAAACATCATTTGCACCTTTTTCATGGAAAAAAATAAGTATTTAGTAAACAATTGTTTACATGTATCATTTATGCTTTTTTCTAGCATGTATAACTTTTTAAAATAAAGGTAGTATTTACCATAAAATGTTTTATTTTTTAAATTTTTCATGTTATTTTTTCCTTTTAGTGGGGGAAGGGTGCATGCCATAGCGCAAGTGTGGGGTCAGAGGACAACTTGCAGGAGTTGGTTTTCTCCTTCTATCATGTGGGTTCTGAGGATCAGACTCCTCAGTTTATCAGTTTTGGTAGGGAGTGCTTTTCCCATGGAGCCACCTCTCCAGCCCTAATCACTGCTTTTTAATACTTCAAACTTTACCATTTAATTTGGATTGTTTTTATATCACATATTACTTACGTAAAGTTACACGTGATTTCATCCTGAAAGAACTACTACAATTAAGACTCATCTAAGTCTGAATACCAAGGAAGATTGCCTAAAATGGTTAATGATAGAAATGCCATTAGGTATGTTTCCCAAAGTCCTATTCTTTCTCTTTTGATGCCATAGTGCCACTAGTTAACTGAAGCAGCCTAAAACTAAATACGTAACAGACTGATAACTTTCATCTGAAACGTCTCTCAAAAGTCCACATATCACAGGCTTGGAGTCTGTTTACTTACAACGAAGTAAACAGGCCTCCTCTGCCACAAGCTTTTGCCAAACGAGCAACCAATTGTGAACAGAAACCTCTGAAACTGTCAGCCAGAACCTTTCCAAGGTTGACCTTTCTTAGGTATTTTGTTACAGTAACAGAAAGCACAGACTTTAAATAGCATTTTAAGTAGTTTTTTTTTTTTTTTTTTTTTTTTTTTGAGTCAGGGACTCCACACAGCTCTGACTGGCCTGGAACATTCTGTGTACACTAGGCTGGCCCAAACTCACAGGCATTTGCCTGCCTCTACCTCTGCCTCCCAAGTGCTGCAATTAAAGGTGTGCACTACCACACCCAGCTGGCTAAACTTTCTATTTTTAAATAGATACTTTTCAGATCCTTACTGTAGTGCATCCTTAACCATCTTCAAAGCAAAACCATGTGTTTGCCAAGACTTTATGTATAATTGAAGGAAAGAAATGAAAACAGGAAGAAAGTTCTAGGGGTTAATCTCTCCATTTGTCACAAAGTCCCCAGCAGGAGCAATTCATGTGGCAATGATTCAAGAATAAAGACCTGAGCTGGAGATGTAGCTCAGTGGTAGAGCACTTAGCATGTACATGGCTGTGGAATGCCCTATAAAGGAAGTGCCTACTGAAGGCACTCCACTTTAAGTGAAATGTATTCTGTAAAAAGGACTACTATAAAATGCCAGCCTTATTAACTTAAACATACAATGATTGCCACAACTGTATAAAAGAAGCTTGGGATTGGCATTGGATTAGCATCCAACTTCATTTTATAAACAAGTCCACCAAAGCTTAGAAATAGTAGGGGCTGACCCTCAGCCCCTAGGCCTTGATCCCAAGTTATTTGTACTCTATTTTGCTCTACTTTCCTATTACTGAATCAAATGCTTCCCCATTTTGTTCCAATGTTCTACCTTCAAATAGCCACACTACAGCTATTTCTTGACCACTGTGAAAGAGAAGATGGCCCCAAAAGTCCTTTAAACTTTGTGAACCCAGAAAGCAGATGGAGGAAAATGGAATAAGGGAAGAAATATAGGAAAGAGATAAGCAAGAGGCAAAAATGGCCTAAGTCTGTATACTGCTGCCTGATCATATTAATTTGTGACAACTGCCTTTGTAAATTGCTTCTCCATTCTGAAAATGATTAATAAGAAATGGCCCCTAGGGGGCTAGAGAGATGGCTCCCCCCATTAAGAATACTGGCTGCTCTTGAAGAGGACCCAGGTTCGATTCCCAGCACTCACATAATGGCTAGCAACTGTCTATAACTCCAGTACCAGGGGATCTGACACTCTCTTCTGTCCTCTGTGGGCATTTCATGACACAGGTGCACTTACATACATGCAGGCAATACACTCACACATAAAAATATTTTTAAAAAAGAAATCTCTCCAACCCACAGGCCTGTCTCTCCAGGGTAAGTCCATCGGGCCCTCCACACCTTGACTCCCCCAGCCTCACTCACCCATCTCCCCTGCCGGACTCTCCTTCTAGCCTGGGTCCTGTCCCATTCTGTGTCTTGGTGCCCCAGACACCTGGGGAACCACCACTGCTTCCTGATCCTTTGCATCCAGAGCAACTCAGTTCCTTCTCGGGTCCCCAGGAGCACTGCTTCTAGGCCTGGCCCCGCCCTCACCTCCCTCTGCTTCCCTGGGCCTGCAGCACCCACAGGCCTCTCTCCCGCACCTTGACCCCTCCCCCAGCCTCACCCTCCCATCTCCCTCTCCCTCTCTGGTCTCTCCTCCTAACCTGGGTCCTGTCCCATTCCTTGTCTTGGCACCCCAGACACCTAGAGAACCACCACTGCTTCCTAATCCTTTGCATCCAAAGCAACTCAGTTCCTTCTGAAGTTTCCCCCGATTCCCCCCCCACACACACACACACCTGCCAGCCTCTTTCTTGGACGCCAGGACTGACCTTTCCTCTTCCTGGTCTTTTGCATACAGACCTGCCCTAGACCAGCATCTTTCCTGCGCCTGGCTTCCAGGCCAGTCCAACCCCCAAATTCCTGAGGCCAAAATCTATCCTGGAGGGATCCAGACCTTAGGAGAAAGACAGAGCATCTGATCCTCATCTGACATGGGCCTCTATGGAAACTCCTGAAGACAAAAGCAACCCAGCCACTCTAATATAAAATCAAAAGAGAGAACCGGAAGCTTAGAGGAACCAGCTTTTCATGCCAAAAAAGTAAACCACAAAGACACATAAAGTTCACAAAAAAG